AGCAATGAATAATCTCGGATATTGTTATAGAAATGGAATAGGAACTGAAAAAAATAAAACTAGAGCATTTGAATTATACAAAGAAGCTGCTGAAAAGGATGAAATTGATGCAATACTAAATCTTAGCTATTGTTATAGAAATGGAATAGGAACTGAAAAAGACGAAATCAAAGCATTTGAATTATACAAAGAAGCAGCTGAAAAAGGTATTGTTCAGTCAATATATCAACTTGGCGAACACTATTTTTATGGAATTGGAACCAAGAAGGATGAAATTAAAGCATTTGAATTATATAAAGAAGCAGCTGAAAAAGGTATTATTCAGTCAATATATCAACTTGGTGAACACTATTTTTATGGAATTGGAACCAAGAAGGATGAAATCAAAGCATTTGAATTATATAAAGAAGCAGCTGAGAAAGGATATTTTGATTCAATGAATGATTTTGGTTATTGCTACCAACATGGAATAGGAACTGAAAAAGATGAAATTGAAGCATTTAAATTATATAAAAAAGCAGCTGAAAATGGTCATATTACTTCAATGAATAATCTTGGAGAATGTTATCAATATGGAATAGGAACCAATAAAGATGAAATTAAGGCATTTGCATTATACAAGGAATTAGTAGAAAGAGGCCATATTTACTCATTATATGATCTTGGATATTGTTATGAAAATGGAATAGGAACTGAAAAAGATAAAATTAAAGCATTTAAATTATATGAAGAATATGAAAATAAGTTATAGTAATCTTTTCATGTGTATACCGTATGGTTTAAATATTAGTTAATTTCTGCTATTAAATGATTAATAAACTAATTTTATTCAAATTTCTTGAATAATTTTACTATTTATTTTTCTATAATAAACGTTTTCGATGTCGACTTTTGAAAAATTTCATTCATTTAACGTTTGACATGGAAACCAAATTTTACAAATAGTACAATAATGGGTGATTGCTTGTCAATAATATAAATTTATTTAACACCGCGCCATGATTACTCAAGAGTAAAACTAGTATAGAAATGATATTAACTGTATGAGTTTGTTTCGTTGTAAGAAAAAATCAGGAAAAGAATTTTCATTAAGTAACATCTTATTTTACCATTTTTATAATACAATTATTCTTTATTGTTATAGCAATTGTAAAAAATACGTATACATATGTATACCTCATCAAAAAGTTCAAGTTTCACGCCAAGTTATATTTATTTATTAAAGTAAAAATATTAAATATTTTTCCAAATTTATAAACATTTATATATCTATTAAATTAATCAGCTTTACTAAAATAAAATTTCACAAATCACTAACTTTAACAGAATATTTACCAAAACCTTTACTATTATATAAATCCAAATAAGCTTGAGGAGCATTTTCAATACCATTAACAATATTTTCCTTGTATTTTAATTTACCTTCTTTTAACCATTGTAACATTTCCTTTTGAAATGAATCATGATATTCATCATAATGCCTAAATACGATAAATCCTTGAATTAAAATACTTTTTGGTATAATTACTGTAAGATTTTTAACACCATATGCTGATTCTGTATTAAGTTGAGAAGTCATTCCACATGAAATTACACGTGCATCCTCATTTAAAATTGGCAAAACTTTATCAAGTGTTTCACCACTATAAAAGAGAAAGGAAAAAAAAAAAATATCAATAAAAAATTTTTGTAAAAATAATAATAATTAATAATTTTTTTTAAAAAAAAAATGATATTTACCCAACATTATCAAAAAAAATATCAATTCCTTCAGGACAGAGATCTTTTAAAGTTTGACCAATATCAACTTTTTTATAATTTATAGCATGATCAAATTTTAATTCATTTATTAAATAATTAACTTTATTATCATCACCAGTTGATCCAACAACTTTTAATCCCTTCAATTTAGCAATTTGACCCACAACTTGACCAACACCTCCCGCAGCGGTCTATATAATTTAGAAAGGAGACGAAAAAATAAAAACAAATCTTTTTCTTCATATTTATATAAAAAAATGATGTTATGTTAAAAAAAAACTTACCGAAATAAATATTGTTTCACCTTTCTTTGGTTTACCAATCATATTTAAACCGACATAAGCAGTCATACCTGGCATACCCAATATTCCAAGAGAATAACTAAGTGGAATACCATTATCTAATGAATTTTTAAGATATTGTTTAACCGGCAACGCTTGTTTCGCTGCTTCAGGAGAAATTTTAGTATATTCTTCCCAACCTATATGCATGATAAAATTTAATTATTAGCTGATTTTTTTTTTGCTTTAACCTCGAAAAAGAATTTTCATTACTTACCACTAACACCTGAGTATAAATCACTTTCTTTCCATTGATCATTATTACTTTTAACTACAACACTAATACAACCAGATTCCAAAACACATCCAATAGGAAACAACCCAAGATAACTTTTTACCGCACCTGATTTCATTCTCGAAAGTACATAAAGATCAAGTGATATATAAAGATTTTTGACCAAAATTTCACCTTTTTCCAATTTTGTTGAGGAAATGTTGATCTTACGCTCAGCAATTTTAAAGTGTTCATTAATTACCGGAAGGCCAGAGTCAAATCCTTTTGTAAAAATTACACCGTTATTTGATACCTCAGAAGAAGACATGTTTTTTAAAAAAAAATTTGAATTTTTTAAAGATGTTGATCAATAAAATTATATTTTTTTGTTTGATCGCTATTTTATAACTGACCGAATGGATCGACAACAGATGAAACGGAAAAATTACTTCCGATTCCGGATGGACGGATATACAACTTTTATCATGTGAAAGTGCAGGAGGCTAAAAATTATACGCTTATTAATTTTATTGCCTATACAAAACTGAATAAAGCTTATTAATCTATTTGTAAGCTTTATAATATATCATATCAAATTTCGTTGTTTATTAATAATTTAATGATAACCCTACCAATAAGGCAATAAGGCTATAATGAATTGATAGTAATTGTAATAAGAATAAGAATGCGTAGAGAATTATTTCACGTGAACTATCATAGATTTTATATCGAATAAATATTTTTATTATTTAATTTTCATATTTTATCATTGTTGAGTCGAACGGCATATTTTTTTTATTCTAGCAGAAGATAAATAAATATATCGCGAAACTCTTTTAATAATTAATGGCCAAATTAATTAAAATAAATTGTACAATATTATAATACTATAATATTTGTATTCGTTTAGTTTATTAATTCCAATAGTAATGATAGAATTTAATTAGATTGAGAAATGTGGAGGGTTTCGTAAAATTTATCAATCTAGTATCAAACTACTTGATGTACAGTTGCTGTATAAAGTTATGATAATATTTGATCAGATCAATATAAAAAATAAAAATTTTTTATTTTATAACTGATAAAGTAAATTTTCAGAAATAAGAAATAACTATTCCATTTTTGGTATGCCAAAAAGGAGATAATATTTTTTTTTTAAAAAAAAAAAGTCAAATAAATTAATTTCGAAAGTATTAAAAAATTCTTTTATTTAGATGAATTATAACGGATTAAAATTTAAAAGTTTTTAATTATTAAAAAAAAAAAAGTAAAATTAAATTATTAATATAAAATTTGCGAAGGTGGGGAATGTTATTGCTATACATTATTTGACATGATTTTCTATCATGATTTTCGGATAACCGACTTGTAATTTTGTTTAATTTACTTTATGAATAACATTCTATGATTTAAGATCTTTCATGATGTATATATAATACAATACATACTACAATAGATACAGACATACAGTATTATCTGATTCCGACATTTGAATCTAAAATTAAAATTAGAAATAAAATTAAAATTATACAACAATTGACAAGCACGCGTTTTAATATAAAATAAACATCATAAGTTTAAAATAGCAAAATAATTTTATTAATATAGAATTTGAAACTGAAGCTATAACATTTGAATCATATAAAATTAAATCAATATATAGTTTAGATATTTATCAATATGAGAATATACTTGAATTTCCGATCCGAATTTGGCTTGACCTGATCCAATAGAAAATTAATTAAATTAATTGTGAATCTTTTAAAATATGTAAACGTGAATTCAGCCGTGCGTCGCGCAATTAGCCCTTGCAAAAGAAAGAACTTATATAAATATGAAAGTATTTAACAAATTATTACAAAGGTAATAAATTTAAATAGAAAAAAAATTTCGTCATACTAAAATTTTTTAAAAATCCAATTTAGTTTACAATTACTCGTTTATTTAGTAAAAGTGTTAAGAAAGAGATTAGAAATTAGAATATACACTATTATTATTAACGTTACGTTAATCTTAATAAATTTTGCGAGATATTGTAAGAATCAGTCATCATCCGCAATAATTTTACGTTATAAAACTTATTTATGTCCTTTTTCTTTAATAAATCTTCGTTAAAGCACGGTCTAAGGAAGGAGAATTTCATAATTACTAGTACATTGACTTGATAGGAAAGTAAATTTGGAATTAACTAGCTACAGATTTTATTTAATCAATTGCTTGTTACCGATTGGAGGTCGTAAAAAATTTTATTCGTAAAATTAATTAAATTAATTTTTTAAATAACCTTTGATGTACGTTATGATTTAAGAAATGTAGCGTAAGCTTTCATATCCGTTGGATCGTCTACAGGTTACGGTTAATTTTGATCAAGATGTATTTCAATTTATTTTGACTAAACATTTGGTCCTTGATATAATTCGCCAGAAATTCATCTTAAAAACCACCATCAAAGTTCGATTCAAATAAACTCTAATGATAGAAATTTAATTTAGTAAGTGAATCCTCAATCACGCATACAGTATATACAGTACAGTACATGTATATTATATAATTAACGTCCCTCTCAATTTAAATAATAAATGAAAAAAAGAAATTTTTTTTTTTCAAAATCTTATAAATTTATTTATAATTAATTAATTAATCCATAAAAAATAAAAACAATAATAAAAAAATAATATCATCGATAAATTCGATATACTGTACCAACAATACATATCAAAAAATAATATATTTAATTATCATATTTTTTAACCCAATCAGGAATTACCGGAAAATGAAAATGCCAATTAACCGGTTCTTGATTAGCTTCACCATTTTCATATACACATCTTTCACATTTACATATAAAACCAAAAGTAGTAACTAATCCATTATGTCTTTCGATTATACGTTGTCTAGGATCACAATAACTTTTAAGAACTTGTTCACCTTCTTCAATTTCTCTTGAAGGAACAAAAAATATTCTTGCTGGATGAAATAAATTATCAACATCATCAATTTTACATCTCATTCTTATATTATCACGAATTGGTCCAGGACTTGAATCATAATCTTGTGATAAATATTGTGCATCAAAGAAACTTGGTATACAACAATGATTAACTAATGATGATAATGGATAAAGTGCTAATGTATCTATCACATCTGAATCTCCAGGTCCAGGAAATGAATTCGGTAATACCATATTAATTACTGTAATAAAAATCCAATAATCATATCGTAAATCAAATCTAGAAACTTCTATTATACGTAAAATATTCAAATAAATTTCATAAAATGATGGATCATAAATCATCTTTCCTCTAAATGGTGTTGATACTGGTGTAAATCTACATAAATGTTTAATTTCTTCAACATCTAATGGACAAATATCTCGAATTTTTGCTACCGCGAAAATTCTAACCGTTAACATTAAATGATGTAAAACTCCGATATTGTCGGAATTAATAATATCAACAATTTCTTTAATTTCTTTATCCTTTCCACAAAGAGATTTATGATATAAATTTAATGATAAATTATAACATCTTTCACTACAAAAAACTTCCTCACAAGATCTTTTTGGACAATAATAAGGATCCACTTTCTTTGGTTTTTCATATAAATTAAGTGATTCGTAAGGTGTAGATCCTGGTTCATTTAATTCTTGAAAACAATAATCACATCGAAATACATAATAATTATGAGCCGTTAAAAAAGGATCTTCTTGAAGTGTTAGACGAGATTTATTAATTGTTGTCTTTACTACCAATCCTAATTGTTCTGAATCAGAATCATTAAAACGAATTTTGGATATCCTAAGTAAAAAATTACTAGCAGAATCAAGTTTTTGTTGAAGTTTTTCTATCATTTTTTCAGATGTTCGTTCTTCATTTCTTTTATCCCAAGGATATTTTCCTTCAAATTTATAAAATCCATGCCTCTTTTTCGCTTCAGTTATTTGACAAGTTTGTATAAATTGATCATGTAATAATGAAGTCTTATAATAATCCTCTTTCTTCTTTTCCCAAATATTAAAATCATTTTTAGTATAAGATTTCATTGATGGATCTTCTTTTTTAGCTAAATCCATACAAGCTTTATATTCAAATGCTGCATGTTTAGGTAATCCTAAAACACCATATGCTTCTCCTATACGATATTTTCCTTTAAGTTTTAATTTAAATAAATCAATATTATCTTTAAAATCTTGTTCTGGATATTCTGTTAAAATATTTTCTGAATTTGCTGAATCATGTAATGCTAATTCAGGATATCCGGCTTTAAGACATGCGAAAGCTCTATTACACCAAAGGTAAGGATCTTTTGGTGTTAATTTAAGTCCTTCAGTATAATGTTCCCATGCTGAAATATAATCTCCTCTTTTAATTGCTTCATTCCCATTTTCTCGATGATCTAATGATTGCATTTTTTTTTTGTATATATTAGAAAAAAATTTTATTTTTTTTTTGTTGTTGAGAACGTTAAGAACAAAAAAAAATTGAGATAACACGTATTTATAAAAAAAAAAAAAAAAATTTTTTTTTTTTTTTTCACATACTTGTACGATAATAACTTTACTTTTGTATCTTTTGTTTCCCGATTTAGTTTAATAGATCATCGAAATTTTTTTTTGTCACATGTGGTTCAATAACCACGCAGTAATTGTATGAAATTAAGGAATAAAAATGTTGATTGATAAACACAATAACGTCTTTTTATAATAATGAATTACAATTATTAAAATTATAATGATAATGATAGGATGAAATAAATTTCTTTTGTTATAAATAATGGGCAAACATTTTAAATTATGATCAAGTTATTTGAATCAAATTGATTCTGATATAAATAAATTTATAAAGAATTTTATTTAAAAAATTTATTAAAATTCAATGTTATTATTATATAGTACATCAAATATAGTTACATCAGAAGAATTTGAATTTAAAAACAATTAAAATACGCTTACGTTACGAAAATTGCTAAAAATTTCATCGACACAAGATATCCTTAACCATAACGGTAGATGTTATGTATTATTCATCCTGATTTAAAAAACTCAGATTCCCATACATCTAGTGATTATGATTATGATGTAAAAAAAAAAAATAAATGGTCTTTAATTGAAAAAAAAAAATTAATTCAAAAAAAAAATTTGGTCATAATAAATACTTACAATCTTACAATCTTACAATCTATACCCGATTTAAAATTCTCTGATATGTAAATTAAAATTCTGATTCTTTCGAAAGTTCTTCGTTACATTAGGTAAATTCATACCAAAAATTGGCATATCATAACACGCCAATGAAATATAAAATAATATTTCTGAGATGAGACGAAAAAGTAACAGATGGATGTTAAATATATAAAGATGATCAACACTTTTACCAAATTGAACATTTTTAACATTTTGATCCCTTTCTCTTCCCTTAGATCTTAGATTATGGTAGAAAAGTCCGGAAAAGTCCATTGAACAGAGTTCATCACCAACAATAAATTGATATAATATCATGAACGATAATTAATCAATTTGAGGCGTTGTAATTAATGCGAATGACAGTGCCTTCATTAAATCACCGTCTTGTCTGCTTCAACTTCTTTATCGCCAATTTATCACAATCACAACATTTCGTGATTCTTTCAATAATGTTTGGAGGACGCAATTCCTTATCAAAAATATCTAAAGATAATTTACATCTCATAAATAGGAAGTCGACACGAAGAAATTATCCACAAAATAATTCCAAGATTAAATCATTGAATATTTTCGTATATTTTAATCACGAAAATCCAAGAATACCTGTAACAGTATTTTATTATTAATTATAATTGCTCGGTCAAAATTTGTTACTTAAATAGATTTGTATTTCCGTACCTTGAACGGTCATGATGAATTAATCCTACATCATGAATTAATTTAATCCTGTGAGAAATATCTGCTGATGGAGGTCAACACATTTTGCATGATCCATTATAATTATTTATGCTTTCGCGTTAGGGTTCGCGTTAGGGTTCGCGTTAGGATTCGCGTTAGGATCTGTGATGAATCCAAGAATAATCCAATCTTGACGCTATTCTGTTTGAAATTGTTGAACAGTTTACGTGAGCGTGAGCTCAAAATTCTTTAATTAAATATCCAAAGTCGTTGTCGTTCTTTTAAAAATTTTTCGTCCACAAATCCATTACCAATCTATGAAATCCTTTAATTGATACCAAACCACTTCTCCTACCAGACATTCTACATGTGCGTACTAAATTTGCTGGTTTGCATTATCTATAACATCAATCACTTGTGATAAATAATCCAATATTGATGGTGTTCTTGATGATATTCTGTTGTTGAACATTTTAATGTGCTCAAATATTCTATAATCAAATATCCAAAGCCGTTATGTTCTTATTAAAAAATTTTTCGACTATAAACCCGTCATCATAATTCCATAATATCTTATAATCAGTACCAAACATCACACCTTTCTCCCATTTATCTACAGATCTTTTGTAAGATTACATTTTATATGCGCGTACTTAATTTGCTGGTTTGCATTGAGTTTATCTATAACTGTGATAAAATATTTTGGTATAAGTTGGTTCCGTAAGTTATTTCTCAACACTTTAAACTCTTCAGTCTCCATATATTCATAACCATTAATAATACGATAGATTTCTAATAACTTTCATATTTCCACCGAATAAAATAATTCCTGAATCTCGAGCGTCCTAATTTTTTGAAATTTCAAGAAATTTTAATTAACCAAATTTAATATAATTAATATAATTGAGATTAAATTATAAAAAATTAATCAACACTTGTAAAAAGAACTTAAACCATTCAAATTATTATTACATTACCAAATTCATTATCATCAGTTATTCTAACCGAATAAATAACTTGATTTCAAAATTAGCCGAACTTAATGCCAAATAGGTTGCAGTATTTAATTAAAGTTTTGGTTTAGTTATTGTAATAAAAATATTTTTTTAATAATAAATTATTATATAATGACTATATTTTTTTTATTTTGAATATTGAATTATAAGAAAATGTTCTTTCCATGAAAAGTAAGTATGAAAAACGTCGAACATCTTTATGAACGATACATATTGATCGACAGTGTCACGGGTTCATTTACATCGAAAGTTGGCGTATTTTGCACGTCACGCGAACATAACTTTATTTTCTGTATACCAAGCGTGAACTATCGACTTTTTTGTCCTATTGTCGTTATTTGTCGCTATTGTCGCTCCAGCATTACGCCATACATTACACTATTTATTTAACATACAGTAATTATAATATAAAAAAAAATACATCATAAAAAATTTCAATTTTTTAATCTATTCAATTAAGACAGTTTAAATTCTGACAACATCGTAATAATTGTTTTGCATCACATTCATTAGCAATATTTTCAACCTCACATAAATTATCATGATTCAAATAACCTTTTAATGCCTTCTCACATCTTTGAATTAAAGTAGGTATAAGAAATTTAGAAGAATAACGAAGTAATGTAATCCATTTATCATAACTTTCAATATTTGGAAGTGTACCAGTACAAAGATAATTAATAATAATTTTTAATGAATTATAAGGAATATCAGTATTAGTTAATACGAGTGTTTTATCGTTTGATTTAATTGACGTATTAAAATAATCTGATCTTTCTGATAATATCTTGGAATTAACATGAAATTCCCTAGATTTCTTATTAGAATTACCAGAACTTCCAATATTTTGATCATCCTCAGTAGAAAATTCATAATGAATAATAAAATCATTTATTGATTCATAATCCGAAAAAAGTAATTCTGGTAAAGGATCAATAATAATATCAGGTTTTAATTCCACCCTAACATCAAATCCAAAAGATTCATCATCAATGTCCCTGAAAAATATTAATTTATTCAAATCTTGTTTTTCATCATCATCTCTTAAACGCGCCATTAATATAAAACCATATTCATTTTTAACAAATCGAGTAACGTCTTCGATCTCTTTTACATGATGTATATTTTGATTAAATTGAATTAAATTCCATGTTGGATTTTGATTTTTCATCGTGGGTAATGATTTAATAAACCATTGAATACTTGCAGAATTATTTAACATACCAAGTGGTAATCTTAAATCAATAGAATTGATAATATAATTTCCAATACGATAATCAAATTTCCAAGAAATTTCTCCATCATCATCATTTATCAATTCTATATCATTAGTTCTTTCTTTCCATTTTTTTAAATATTTATTAGATAAAATACCATTTTCATAATAAGCATTGGTTTTTGTATTATATGATATTCTATTCTTATATAAATTATTATTATTATTCATTTTAATTGGTATAACATGAAGTAAAAATTTATCACAAAATATTCCTCCATTAGTTTCATCATAAACTTCGGCGGTTTCTATAGGTTCGTATAAAGAATTTTCATTATTATTATAATATATATTAGAGTTGTTGTTTAAATTTCCATTTGATAAACTATTACTTGAAGAATTTTCTTTTAACATATTATACATAATATTAAGATACATTTTGACGAAATGATTCAGTAAAAAAAAAAAGAAAAAATTTTTTTCGTGTATTTATATTTTATCAAAATGACATATGACATCATAAATGACGTACGATCGACATTTCTAGACGACTTAAGTTCTAAATCGAAATTTCTAATAATGTGAGCTGATTTTTTTATTTCCGGAATAAAGTCGATAAAATACCTGAGCTATTGTTATGGCTGTAAATGCATTTGCATTTTAAACTCACTGAACTTATCATGAATCTTCTGGTCCTTTTCATCATAGTTTTTATTGATTGATTTGGGTATCTGAACCTTAAACGTTTCGTCGAAATGGAAGTAGCGAAAAATTGAGGCTTTTTTTTTACTAGGATCCTTTACATCTATGATTTAAACTTTTAATCTGTCTTTTAAAAAAAATTATAATTATCTAAGAAGATTATGATGCATAAAAACATGCTAACAAAGAATAGTTAGATCATACGCGTAATTAATGTATTTGGTGATAAAATAATTATATAAGTTGAGTTTTTGAGTACATCAAACTACTTATTAACAAATTATGATGGACTTTTCCAACTTTTTAAAAGAATACACTAGAAAATATGGTTATATTTACCAGCGATCATCAAAAAGGTTTAGCTACGTCTATAATTTTTCATATTATTGAGAAATTCATCATCACTATGTTTCTTTTGCTTTTCTTGACATGTTTCGAGTGATTGCTTCTTAAGTGCACTCCTCCTAGAACCTGATGGCCGTTGTCTCTTTATCTCCATCATCATCATCATCATCATCCCATCATTGTCATCCTCATCAGTGTTAGGTGTAGTCAGATTAGTTATAGATATATTTCATAATAATACAAACATTCAAGTGTGATGAACTACTGGTCATCCTGACAAAAAAAATCATGTTCAAATATACATCGTGAGAAGGCCATATTTGAGGTCGTTGACGACCATAAATCCGAAAAGCTGCCTAATGATCTAATATATGAGCTTGTCCATCATCTTCTACTGTCAATGCTACGTTACATGCATTAACAATTCGGCTTCATCAATAGTGAACAGTGATCAACTATCAAATTCCTCATTACTGATTTCAGTTGCTAAAGTATCAGAGTAACTTCTGGATCATTCAAACTCTACATACTCGAGGAAGAATCTTGGTAATTTGTCAATGCTGACTTCCTTCTCTTTTATGCGATCTGATCCAATCTGATTTCAGCCAAATTGAATGAATTATTTGAAGATTGATTGTAAATTTTACGCGATATTACGCCTGATTGAGCTTCAATACAATTATGAATACCTATACAGGATACTGTATATACATTACTAAATTTTGATTAATATTGAAGAATCACTCTGTATTCACTTTTCGCTGTTCAGGATTTTCTGGTAAAGCTTTATTTGGGTTTGTAAATTAGAAAGATTTCAGTTGATGACAAGATATAAACAATAAAGAAAAATAAGAATCACATGATACGTAGAATTGATGACGTGATTTCACTATACTTCTCAGAAACACTGGTATAATAAATTCCGCTAGAATATCAAACGTGTAAACCTCCATTTGTTGATGCGTTACGTCTGTTTTAAAAAACATCATCTAATCGTAGAAAGATAATAGATAATACGGGCGCTAGCGTCGATTTTATTAGTTTAGCCATAAAATCACCACAACTTCATTCACATAACAACATTGCCGAGAATATTTTTTAAAAAATTTGATTTTATTTAAAAACATGCATTCTAAAAGAGTATACGCTAGTAATAATAATACTCATGATAATATTTTTCAAAAATAAGTAAATCGCGAAATGTGAAAAAACTATTTAGAAAAAAAAAATGAAAGAAAAAGAAAATTTACAAATGTCCGTTTATAATAACATAAATAAATTTTGTTATTTTAACGAAAGATAAAAAAAATAAAAATAAAAATAAAAAAATAAAATAAATAAAAATAATGTTACTATCTTAAGATGCTTAAAATTTTAATAAGATTAAATCTTTAACTAATTTCAATCAACTGTTGACTTAATGGTGGTTCAAAATTATCACAATATCGTAGTAATTGCTCAGCACCATATTCATTAGCAATGGTTTTAACCTCATTTAAATTATCATGATTCAAATAACTTCTTAATTCCATCTCACATCTTTGAACTAAAGTAGGTATAAAAAATTTAGAAGCATCACAAAATAATGTGATCCAATTATCATAACTTTCAATGATTGGAAGTTTACCAGTATAAAGATAATTAAGAATAATTTCTAATGATTCATAAGAAATATCAGAATCATTCAAAGTGATTGATTTGTCTTGTGATTCACCCATTTTTGATTCCAATAATTTACTAAAATGATTTGATAATAACTCTGAGTGAACATGAAGATCCTTAGGTTCCTTATCGATTTCCTCCTTATCGGTTTCCTCCTTATCGATTTCTTCCTTATCGGTTTCCTCTTTGTCGATTTCCTTATCGAGAGAGCTAGAACTTGAAATAATTTGGTAATCATCAGCCGAAAATTCATAATGGATAACAAAATCACGCGTTGAATCATTCAAACCCGATAATTTTATTAAAGGGTCGACAATAACATCAGGTTTTAATTCAACATTAACGTCCAATCCAAAAGTTTCATCATTTTCAGCTTCTAAATTTTTATCCAATACACTAAAATTTTGTCTAAATAATTGAGATTTTTGCCATTTAATTGGAGATTCGTCACCGCCACTTAAACGAACTTGTAATATAAAACCATATTCATCTTTAACAAATTGACTAACATCAACTATCTCATTTACATTTTGACCAGATGTATTAACTTGAATTAATTTCCAACCTGGGTCTGGATTTTTCATCGTGGGTAATGGTTTAATAAACCATTGAACGCTCGCAGAATTATCAAAAGTACCAAATGATAATCTTAAAATAAGAGAATTAATAATGTAACTACCAATACGATAATCAAATTTCCAAGAAATTTCACCATCATCATTCATTATTTCATTGATAGGAGTTCTTTTTTCGGTATCAGGAACTCTTGCTAAATATATTTTCTTCCAATCATATTCAATTTTTAATTTAATATTATCCCATTGATAAGTTCCTTCCGCCCATTTCTTTAAATATTTATTAGATAAAATTCCATTCTCATAATAAGCGTTAGTTTGTGTATTATAAGAGATTCTATTTATAAATAAATTATTCTTTTCATCGACCGGTACAACATGAAGCGAAAATCTATCACTCAAAGTTCCTCCGCTAGTATCATCGTAAACTTTTCCAGCTTCTAAATTTTCACAGTCATCGTTCGACGATGAACTAGTCGGAAAATTTTCATTTATTAAGTTATTTATAAAGTCGAGAATCATTTTTTTTTCAGATGTGTTAACGAGTTAAAAAGAAAAAAGAATAAAAACATAAAACCATCCCATATTTATTGACTAATTGGTTTCATTTATTGACGGATTTAGTAATATGACAATCAAACATTATGTCTCATGATAGTGAAACAGATCGATGATTATTTAGGACGGCTGCGCCAAATGCGCCATATAAACTGTTGGCATACTAACTTTCCTAAGCAAATACGCCTTGTTTTCTTTGTATTACAGATAAAATTTACAAAACTACGCATTTCAAGGGCAACTTCCTTTTACGTATAACATTTACAAATATTTATCAGTTATTTTTATTATTATTCAATGATAATAATTAAAATCAATAACATAAACAGAAATTTATCAGATTTTCATTTATCATGGGTTAAATTATTAAATCACCGGTTATGGTACGACTAACAATCAACTCGCGGGTAGCCATTTCACCGACATGAAAAGACTCCGATTTCGCCAAATCAATCAATTTTATTTTTTTTTTTTTAAAAAAAAAATTTTTGTAATTATTTTAAAAAATGTGTATAACATAAATAGAAAATTTCCAAATTGTCGTCGCGCTGACACCTGCAGCATCTAAATCTAGAAACTCTTATAAAAAAAGTCAACTGTTTAAATATACGAAGAAGTAAGAAACAAATACCGGTATGAAGATAAAATAAATAGTTTTTCTTTTAATCATTTAATTTAATATCAAAATTGTATAAATAAATAATATTTAAAAATTTATTTAACATATACAAAATATAAACATGTTTAGTAAAACCTGTTGGCATCATCTTAAATTTGTAAATTTTAATAATCATAACTACTACAAATAGAATACTGATCAACACCAAAACAATAAATTTATTTTTTTTTGTTATAAAAATTATATTATTACATATATTTTTTTGGATTTAAAATTAAAATGAAATATTGATATTAATTCTTTAAAAAAAAATTCATTTTAATAAAATAAGCTTACAAATTATCTTTCTTGGAGAGTCTATAATTTTCTTTTCCAGCTGAAGCAACTTTTTTTGGTCTACAACTCCCGTGCATAATCCACGTATTTTCGTTGCCTTCTAATTCTTTTTATCTGTTATTCTCTACTGTTCCTATGAATGTTCGCCAAGAAAACCCTTTGTTTGCCCAAACCTCACTATTTTCCCGCACGTCATTTACAATATAACTTTATTTAAGATTTTGCTATTAAGAGTGATTATAAGCCAAATTTAAATGGTTGATGACTATATACAGTATATTTTAACTCACAAATCAAGGCTTGTAAAAAATTCCGACAAGAAGTGATGCCACTGGTGTTAGACACTAAGGGCGAAGAGAAAGTGTTTGAGGATCTACTTGGATCGGTGGATTTGAATCATATTTCGAGAGTGAAATGTGGATATCTTAACTCCTCTGTAAAATATAAGAAAGTATAACGATAAACACCACATTTTTTTTACGTAAGATAAAATGAATATTGAAAAATGCGGTGTTCCAGTTTGTGAATACTTTATAATAAAAGCAATGACTTCTTATATATAATCAACATCCGGTATAAAATGACCAAAAATCTTAATTCGCCATATGCAGTGACGCAAAAATATTCCCTTGGTTATAATTCAATTATTAAATCAGTAAATTGATTTGGGTCCCAACGATACGATACGGTATTATTAATGTAATAATGTATTCGTCACTTTTTCAAAGGTTGCAATAATGCATGATTTTAATAGTCAGCTAATTTCGATACATTAACGGGAAGTTTCACCGAAGGGACGTTTCGCCAAAAGGACGTTTCGTCGAAAGTGCATTTTTCCATTTCGTCGAATTCCATTTCGCCAAATGAACGTTTCACTGAAAATGGTAGCAATTAACATTTTTATATATACTGTATACTACGATAAATAGTCGCTCGTACAAATTTCCGTGTAAAAGATAGAAGATATCGAAAACCTCTAATAGACAATCAATATCATTTAATGAAATTGATGCTACTAGTTCAACCAATAAAATTAAGGTAAATTATTATCATCTGTTAATGGTACCATTTCCTCAATTTTAGTCAATAATAATTCCAGTGAACAAAATTAGTATTATTAACTTTATACATAATAATAAATAATTTTCAGTGTAAAAACTTCAACCGTGTTCTCTTTTGTTAAAGATTCTTCTTTAACTGATTCCATATAAATATATTCTAACATAAAATTTCTATATCGCTATATTTTGGATTATATAATAAAATTTTTCTAATGAATCTCCTTTCGTCATTTCGGAAAAATAAAGTTTTTACAGATAAATAATTTTATTTGTTACTATTTGGTGCTAGCTTTAGCTTATGTCTACTATCTAGATTTAGTTATGCCGGATTTCACAATTAATTTAACTATCGACTAAACTCGAAAAGTATAATAATTGAGTTGAACCTATTACATCACAGCATAGTCTGGATCTTATGAATATAAATACAATTATATATATATTTTTTTTAAAAAAAAAAGGTGATTGTTAATAAAATTTCTTTCATGCGTAATTGGTGAAAAACTAGAAGAGTACACATTTACTTTTAACTTAAAGAGGCGAAATTACATAATAGCGAGTTGCGACATAATCTTGCTCAATGAGCCCATTCGACCATTCTAAGCCATTTTGATGACTAAGACAAGTGACGGATGAAGTAATTCGGGAAATGTGAGATTTTATAATTGTTAGACAATTTATAAGTTTTATTTAAGATTATTTTGGACATCGTCGTGAGAATAATTATAAAAACTCGTTTCAGTACTAAGATGACAAATCGCGAAAGGAGTTGATGATTAAGTAATTATTTATTAGCAAAAAAATAATCACAATTCTAAAAGGAAAGTATTTTTGAAAATAGATGTACTATAAATTATGGGAAAATTTTTTTAGATATGCTAGCATTGAAAATGAAATCCTACCTAACGTACTGTACCACCAGTAGCTCAATTGATTAATTCCGGTCAAGTCGAAAATTAAGACTGGAATGAAAAATTTCATTGGCGACTGAAGAATGTAAAATGTTTTAATAGTGGTGATTACTTAGTATAGGGAAATAATGAAATAATTCTTTATAATAATTGATTTAAATGCTCTCTCTGCTTAGTTAAACAAAAAAAAACTAAAGGAATTTAAATATTTTTCTTTTTATTGTTCAATTTAAATTAATAATACAAATAAATAAATTAGCTAATTTACGGGAGTCGTACACTTAATTTACATATAAACAATAAAATACAAATAGTTCATATAATACAATCGACTAATATATAATTACTCTATATAACATATTTTTAATCCTCTCGACCCAAATTCGTTCCTTATTTTTATTGTTGTGAAAATCTATTTAAATTATTATAATTGGAAGTGGTTTGTGCATTTGGTGGGATATACATTTCACCAGATTCAGTGTTCATCATAACAACACGATAAGGTTGATCAGGAGGTAAATTAAACCTTTCATGAGACGGTGCTATATTAGTATCAGTATTATAATGTGCTGTATTATTATTACCAGCATATTGGCGTGTCGTGTTATTATTATTATTAGCATATTGATGTGCCATGTTATTATTACCGCCCACACTTCGACGTGTTGTATTATTATTACTAGCATACTGATGAGCCACATTGTTATTATTACCTCCCACACTTTGACGTATTGTATTATTATTACTAGCATACTGATGGGCCACATTGTTATTATTACCGCCCACACTTTGGCGTATCGTATTATTATTACTAGCATACTGATGAGCCACATTGTTTTTATTACCCAAAGATTGACGTGTTATATTATTGTTACTAGCATATTGGTGAGCCAGATTATTATTATTATTATCCACATATTGACGTACTGTATCATTACTGACATAGTGATTAGTATCATTAGCACCATGTGTTATATTAGCACTAGCATAATTATGATTAACAGATGAAATCCCACTTGAATTACTTGGTATACTTGGTAGTTGCTTGATATCTCTATTAAATTGATTAATATCTTTTGATGTCACTGGAACATTACTACTTGATGTGTAAATACTCTCAGAGTCTATTTGAGATGCGGGAACTTGCTGATCCACAATGTAAGGTTGATATACCGTTAATTTATCATCTAATTGTTTAATTTTACGACGATAAATTATTACGCCAATTGCAACACCGATAAAAATAACAACCACTATAACTACTATTATAATGATCATCGTTTTATCCAAAGATTTGCTTGATTGTGGTTCTTGAAAGGGGATCGAATTATTAAGCGGATTATAATTTTTAACCCATGTGAAAGTATTTATATCTAAAACGTATAATTGATCGCTTTGTCCCTCATTTGCATTGCTTCTGGTTATATTTCCTAATATTTTAGGAAAAAAAATGTATAATATAAGTGATCAAATTTACGTTAATTACAAAAATAATATATAAAAATTACCGAAAGCAACAATCATATAATTTTCGACAAGATTTGCGGTATGAAATATGAGAGGTGGTGGATTAATTTCTTTAGAATTTACAATAGGAATGGACCAACGAAAAGGATTAACTGAAGTATCCAATACAGCAATTTGTGGTTGAGATGCGACTAAAGTTGGCGCATACACTCCTCCAAAAATTATTATTTCTCCTTTTTTATCTATAAATTGAGATAAAAAAAAAAGCGATGATAAGTAAATAATATCCTTTTTATTTGAATTATATATATCAGAATTGACATACTTAATACAGCTGTATGACCCGTTCTTTCTGTAATCGTTTCCCCGGTTGCTGTCTAAATTAATTGTTTAATACGTTAATAATAAATATTAAATTTATCGATAATTATTTACATATAATTACCATTGTTGACCAAGTATTTCCAATTGTATCGTATATATCAATCTTAAAAAAAAGGGTATTAAAATAAAATTTTATTAGTCAAACCTTAGTAGTAGCGATAGCAAAATATTTTGAAACTAACCTTATTCATACTAATGACATCAAAATGAATTGCATTCACGTCAGTTTGCGAACCACCGATATAGACAATATCTCCATTTGGTAATAAAGTAGCAGTATAGTCAATTTTAGACAAAGGAGGATTAATTAGAGGCCCCGCAGTCCAAGTGTTATCAACAGAATTTAAAATACTCATAGTATTATAGACTTGAATAGTTTGAAAGCCCAACAACATATCAGATCCACCACCAAACATATAAATTTTTCCATCTTTATCAGTAACAGGCTGTAATTCTCTACGTCTAGTATATGCCATTCCTTTCATTGCCGGTGCTGGTGACCACGTTTGAGTCTTAATATCAAAAGAATATATCATTGAAGTCGTTAAAACATTAGGTAAATCTTGTCTAACCATCAGTCCTGCAAAGAAAAATATTTTTGATTGATTAACTCCCCCAATAGCACTTAGACACCACGCACATGAAAATGGACTTGCCGCTTTTGCTACATATGGAACATTAGTCGTATCAAATGGTTTTGTTAAATCTATATAAAATACATCTCCAGTTGGAGAAAGTATTCCATTTATCATAGTCCCCCCACCGAAAAACCATAATTTATTATCAATTAAATGAGCATTATGTGTAAACCTTCTTTTAAGCGTAAATTGGGATTGAACTTTATTTAAAATGTTTATTATAATCCATAAAGTTAATATAAATTTAAATGAAAATAATGAAAATAAAATTTTTAATATTCTAGATATTCGAAACATTTTTTTTTTTAATTACATAACAAAATAAAAATCATAAAAAGAAAATATAGGGTTTTTTTTTTTTGAGAAAGAAATATAATATCTGATATTTTTTAAGGGAAAATTAAGTTCCGAATAGAATTTCGATTTATACCCGTCGGATTTTTCCAAATCGGCATGATTGTATCACATTGTTGTATCACGTAACTAACTTTATTCATATAAACTTTTTAGAACAAACATCGGAGAAAATTAACAGCGAACTAAGTGAAAATGTATTGTACAATATTTGATGATGTGCCTAATTTAGTAAATAGTTGTACCTTCATTTTTAAAAATAACTACAACTAATAAGATTTAATAGAGAATCTCTCATAGATATGTGTTACCGCCCCTAAAAAGGCTCGTAAATTCTTTGAAAAGATTACCATAATTGTCAATATCATTTTGTTGTACAAATTAACAGTATGACTCACAAGTAATATGTGTACTATATAATCGGTTTAAGTATTTCTTGTGTAGTGATTATTTTAATTGTATATTAATTATAAATATCAGGCGAACGTATATCTATTTTTTTTTTTTTTTCTCGAAAAAATTTTTTTTTTTATCATTGTAAAAATTAAAAAAGTAAAATCAGATTTTCATATTCCGGTCATTAGGAATGCGACAAAATTAAAATACCATTACATATTTATTTTGTTATTTTTATCAAAAATGAAAAAAATGAACGAATTTTTTTTTTTAGACATAGATTGGTTTTCAATATTATTAAAATGTGTGTTTATTTATACAAGAAATAAAATAAAATACAAAAGAAATAGAGGAAAAACTAGCTCCTAACCCACACGTCAAATGCTATTATGGTAAGATGCGAACCCATCAAGATATAGCCAAGATTGAAAAAGTACGTAAACAATAAATATAGAAAAATTGAGAAATTTAATGCTGAACGACATTTGTATTATCTTGATTCCTTTGATTGGTATCAGATGATTGTTTCTTTCCTTATAAAAAGATTTCAAATGTTTGTTAATTTTGATGTATCCTTTTATTAGAGCTAGTAGTTTATGGAAAAATAGCGCAATATCCAGTTGGTTCCAACGGTTTTGTCCTTCATCCCCGATCATATTCCTAACTTCAATGAGAAAACTAAATGTATTGCATGTTGCGCATTTCCAAAATGCACCGCTAAAGACCTTTATTGAATATGTCGATTTTATGTTGAAAACGGCCTGAAAGATTAAATCTCGGAAAATATTGGTTTAGATACAATGTGTAAATCGGCACTTAAACTTACAGAATTTCGGGGTGGGCAAAAGATCTTTTGTACAAAACCGGGATACTCTTGTTTTGATACAAACGGGAGTCGCACAATGCTTTAACATCAGTCATAACAACAGGACTCACTATGTATTTTTTTCTTCTGATAACATTAATAGATGACCAAGTAACAGAATTGATCAAAATAGAGATCTCTTACCGTGGTCTCTATGCATCGACGGCACAACCAGTACATTATAAACAAAAGTTTTTCATGTGACCTAACACGAGTGATTATTACAACTCCTAGAAAATATGGGATTTCAATAAATGTTAGAACGAGTTAAAACTTTTCTAGAGAATGTAATGGTCAAAGCACATTCCCTGTAAAAAATTTTATCCGTTATTTCTGTAAAAATTCTGATCCATTAACGGGAAATGTAAATTATTCGATAAGTTCCGTGATATAAGGTTATTATTAATTCCGGAAATATGTTCCTTTTACGGAAAAAATATGGAATATAAAACATCGACCTTCTTTGATCTTAAACTCAAATACAGATCCATCTGTTGTTGTTCCCCATGCCACTGCTGCTGGACCAAGCTGAAAATCTTTTTTCAAATAATCCCCAAGTGGCAATAACAAATATCGCATATGTTCCCATCCAAATAAACGACCGTAACAGTCTAGAAAAAGCATTTCACAATAAAGTTCCCCGATGATAATGATATGGTCGAAACCATACTATTTAACACGCTCTATATAAACAATAAGATCTTCTAGAGGTATTTTAGTTTTGATTTCAAGACCGATAGAAGATGAACACGGCAAATATCAGTTTCACATGCGATCATCTCAACCAACATTAATGAATTACTCAGATTGTCGAGAAGTCACCATCTTCGCTACTAATTTGCACCTGAGACATGGAGGCTTGATCCTCTGATTCACTGTCATTATTGTCCGGGAGTATAAGTTTACATGGTTTTTTTGGAATTTCAGTCCACGGAGTTCTGTCCAAGGAATCATTTCGGCACAATTCGCCCAAGGATGCTTTCATAATTCGGATTCGTTCTTTGTTAGGACAGCATACAAATGATACCCCTTCAATGCTTTGATTATTTTCATCAACTTCCTCGCCCATGGTTCTTTTAAATTATCTAACCAAGAATAATCGTTTAAACTTGAAAAATGAAAAATAGAAATTTAGTATAAAAGAAAGATTGGGTAGCTGTACTGACTGTTAAACCTAGCAACACAAATTGCCAGCAATGATCACGTGATAATGAAAGTTGTACGCGTACAGTGTTAAAATTAATAATCAATAACTGATTATGAATAATAAATTTATGATCATATTTCTAGTAATTACTGTCTATTAGTAATATTATTATTATTCATATTTTGTATTTAATGATTTGTATTTACAATAAGAGTAGTAATGAAAAGCTTATTTCTATAGATTTTACACAAGAGAAGTAAGATTTGATTTGAAGTACCAGATCGAAATAGGTCAACTAGGTAAAGATAGCGGAGCGAAATGGAAATTAAAATATGAGCGTAACAAATGATTGGTTGAATAAATCTGTCGACAAAGACACCTGCTGGGTTGCTCGCGATTCACGATCCCGAATGATTTTCCAAAAAAAAAATATAGTTATATAGCTTCCACCCTGTATTTGTAAATGAGAATAATTCCTATTTATTGTAATAACTTACTTGTGAAAAAAAAAGAATGCTATAAAAGAAATTTTAGAAAAAAAAATGTTATCACAAGCAAATATTACATTAAAAGAAAGGAATACATTTTAAACAAATATTAAAACATCTTCATTATTTAAAACGAGGATTTGATGGTGGTAATTTAAAATATTCCACAACCTTAAAAAATATCTATAATGATAAGAAGTTACTATGTACTAAACAAACACCAAATATAATATAAATTAATGAGAAAATATTCAACAGAAATTTCAAAGGATATTGAAATACCTTTAAAACAAAGTGACTTGAATAATAACAAAAATGATACATTAATAGGAAAATCTTCAGATAGTTTTAATGGATTTGATATTAATAAGTTTATCAATTTCTTAAAAAATGGAAAAATTAATGAAGAAAAATCATTCATATCAACACAAGAATATTGTATCGTACAATATTAAATAAAGTAAATGGCATTTTAAGTGATCAATTTATTCAAGTTTCTTTAAAATTGAATCTTTGTAAATCAGATCAACAAGTATTAAATTTATATGATGAACTATCACATAATGGGATTTGTCTTGTGTACACGTTTTATCAATTATAATTAAATTCTGATCATAAATTATACAATATGTCGGATGGATTCTTAAAAGAATATTTAAAGAATATTCTTTTTCCATTGTTAATGAACAAGAATTCAAAAAATTTATCCAAGATTATAATCAATACTCTTTAACATGATATTATATAAAGAAATCATATTCAAACCAAGTTCTCTATAAAAATTTCATCAAAAGACGCTAATATACAAGAGAATACAGATATATTAATGTCGCATTGGAAAATTGGACCAGATGGAACGACATTTTTAATCTTATTACAACATTGCAAAAATCATGAACAATTAGAAGATATTTGAAATAAAACATTAAAATATAGATTATGTAAAAATAAAGATTGCAAGAAGAAATTATAAAGATATGTTGTACAAAACTTTCTTTAATAAATCGTTGACTTATGAGAATCAACATAATATGGAAAATATGGAGATGGAATATCAAAATGCTTTGATTATTTTTTTAGAATTTCTAAAGGAGAGAAATATAGTTAATTAAATAAAAAATTTTAATTTTTTAAGAAATTTACCAATTCCTACGATCATCAATTTAATAAAATCTTAATTAAATTATCATTGAGATTATATATAATAGTATGATGGATAAATATATTAAATATGTTAAAGAAAATAAGTTGGGAAAATCATTATATGTATTAGAAATAATGCAAAGAAATAAGAGTTAAACTAAAAAAAAAATAATATTTTATTAAATTTATTTTGTAAAGTAAAAGCCCAAAACGACGCAGTAATAATGTAATTGAAAATGGAATTGAACTTGACGAAAGAATTTTCATTATTTTAATCGTAGGAACTAAGATTTGAATTTATATACGCTAAATTAAAAAGTTACTAGTACATATGAAAGCTGACCATAATAGATTGATATATGGATTTTAATAAAAATAAATATGTATAATTAAAATACTAATTAGAAAATTGATTGGACAAAAACCGAGAAAATTTTAAAATTTTAAACGGTCGTAACACGCATCCTTTAATTATATAATTTCGTGTCACGTATTATGGATAATTACGTATATATAATTTTTTAGAGTTTTTTTTAATGTTGCACAGATTAATTATATAAGGCCGAACATTTACAAATTTGTATTAATTCTTTTTCTTTCCTTCTTTTAACGCCAAAATTATTATAAAACATGGAAGATAATAAACTTTTACCAAAATTATCACAAAATTTACTTGAAATTTTAAATGATGAAGAATATTATGATATTACTATCGAAGTTGGTAATGACCCTCATGTAAAAATTTTTCGTGCTCATATGGTTATATTACATTATCGTTCTCCTTATTTGCAAAGAATTTTGTCAACTAATAAAAAGAAAAACGATGGAACTTTATCACATATTAAATTATCAAATATATCTCCTGAAACATTTCAAATAATTTTAAGGTAATAATTTATAAACAGATTATTATATTCATTATATTGTTTTTATTAAAAGTGTATATTTTTATATTTTAGTTATATTTATGGCGGAAAACTTTCTTTAAAAGAATACGATACTCAGGATATAATTAAAATATTAGTTTCTGCCAGCGAACTTAGTCTTCAAGAATTAACCACGTATTTACAATTTTATTTGATTGAAAATAAAACAGATTGGATGGAACAAAATTTTAATTTGATATATCAAACAAGCTTTGAGAATAATTCTTTCTTGGAACTACAAAAATATTGTACAAATTTAATTTCCAAGGAACCAAATAAGTTATTTAATTCTATGAATTTTTCTTCAATTTCAGAAAATATTTTACTTACGATTATTCAAAGTGATAACCTTCAAATTAGTGAAATCCAAATCTGGGATCATGTTCTTAAATGGGGAATCGCTCAAAATCCGGATCTTCCTTCTGATTTTACAGACTATTCTCAAGATGATTTTAATAATTTAAAGAATACCTTGCAACGATTTATTCCATTTATTAAATTCCACGATTTAACTTCTAAAGAATTTTTAGAAAAAGTATTTCCTTATGAAAAAATATTTCCAGAAGATTTCTATAAAGAATTACTAAAAGATTTTTTGAGTCTTTTGGATCCTAATAGTAAACGAAGCGACAAATCAAAGTCTAATATAACTAAAGAAATTAAAAGAACAGTGGACTCTAAAATTATAACTCATCAACATGTTGAATTAATTTTAAAATGGATCGATAGATTAGAAATTACTGATAAGTTAATTTCTTTATGTGAATTCAGATTATTATTTCGTGCATCTCGTGATAGACATTCACGGGATAAATTTCATCAAATTTGTAATAATCAATCCCACACTGTAACGATTGTTAAAGTGAAAGATAGTAACGAAATTCTTGGAGGATATAATCCACTTGAATGGGAATCTAGTGAATCTTACGGTGATTTGGTAGCTACTAAAGATAGTTTTATATTTTCTTTTGACTGTGATAAAATTGAAAACCATATTTTAAGTCGGGTGAAAGATGAAAAGAAGGCTATCTACAATAGTCAATGGTACGGTCCATCATTTGGCATAGGAGATCTTGAAATATGGGCGCACAATGGTAGTAGTTATTGTAGACGATCTAAACAATCATGTTATGAAAAACCGATTAGAAAAACTGAAAACGATTTTACTATAGAAGAGTGTGAAGTATTTAAGATTGTTCGTAATTGATACTTTAATCAAAATTTTTAGTATTTTAGATTCCCTATTTCAAAAAAAATATTTTAAGTATACAGTAGTTTTTTAATGAGTCTAAGTTGTTATTAGCGGATTGTTCTGTTTAACATGAAATTTGTAATATTTGAGTTACCCATATTAATACACGCGATTTACTACAATTTTGAATTTTAATTGGCTAATATTTATAATTATTGTTTAATTTATTAATTTTAAAGCAAATAAAGATTGACCATAAAAGAGAATAAAGAAATGTGATCAAATAGCGCGTAAGATTAAACAAAAATACCCAAAGATCAAGCACGTAAAGATCAAGAAAGAGATATACAAAGGTGCACCTGAAGATCAAGAGCAAGATGCAATTTACTAACAGAAGTGATACCGTAATTTTCATTTTAAAAGATATAAACGTACGAAAAAAATTATTAAAAATAAGATATGGAAAAAGAGAGCATACTGTGTAATTTAATTTGAAACTTTTATAGTATTAGTATATAAAAAATTAATGAAAGAAATAAAAAATAAAATAATTAGATGATAACTATATTTTTAAACCAAAGAACTGAGAAAAAACAGAAACAAAAAAAAAATATCACAATTAAACTAACCTATACAGATGTAATATAAATATCAATTTTTCAATTATGTAGATATATTTAAAGTTTACAAAACCATCAATATTATGCGGAGAGTAAGAGAAACCCATATTTTGAAATCTAGCCCAACCTGGATCTAAAATAATGCTGGCCCAAGCGGTCCAGTCCAGCAGGATCTGAACTACTAGAATTTCAAATAAATTTTTAATGGGTGGTGGAAAATTCCCACAAAATTATTTTTAGTTTAAGAAATATAGTTTGATTTATTAAAAAATTTTATGATTACAAAAAAATCTATAACATTATTTTATATAAAAAATCATTAAGAAATTATTCAAAAAAAAAAATTTATATACAATATCTACCGGATCATTTAATCAAAAATTAAAAAAACAAATATTATTTATTAAAAAAGATTACACGCTTAAAATTGACAATTACTAAACAAATTATTTATTAAAAAAATTAATAAATTTAATGAATGATATCGCCGCCAAGTTTAATAAACCCTTCGATCTCAGGACCTTCAGTCTAACCAATTATATAATTAGTAACCAACAAACGATCAAGACTATAAATAATGTAGAATAGATCGGACGCAGCCAACCACACGTTACATAATTCAAAATTATATATATGAAATAATCTAAATATCATTATATTGATATTATATAATTTATTTTACTATAATACGAAATTATTTGGGTAGAGAAAGACAATAAAAGTAAAGTTCGTCTATTATAGGTAAAACGATTATTTTTTTTTAAAAAAAAAGTACCAACGTATTTCCTCGTTAGAACGGTAGAAGCAAATAATTTTTTATTATTTATACTGAAAATTTGGTTTTTTACGCACAAGTTTCTGTAAAAGATATAAATCTTTTCGTTACAAAAGATAGTTTTTCAATATAAATCCTTAGTTATTAAATTAATTAGTCATAAAAGATAATTTCGCATGTCGTGTAATTTAGTTTGTTATATTCGACAACATACAATGATTGAATTAAAAAAATAAATCGATTTTCGTAATAATACTGCGCGTTTCATCACGTGCATTAAATAAATTTATGTTGCACAGAATGTAGTAGTTCAATTATATAAGGCTAGAAATATACAAATTTGGGTTGATTCTTTTGATTCTTTCTTATTTCTTTCGCTAGCGATAAAAATTATAAAAAATGGATAATAAACTTTTACCAAAATTATCACAAAATTTACTCGAAATTTTGAATGATGAAGAATATTATGATATTACTATTGAAGTTGGTAATGACCCTTACGTAAAGGTCTTCCGTGTGCATATGGTCATTTTGCATTATCGTTCTCCTTATTTACAAAGACTTTTGACAACTAATAAAAATAAAAATGATGGAGCTTTAGCACATATCAAATTACCAAATATTGCACCCGAAATATTTCAACCAATCTTAAGGTAATAATTTATAAACTTATGTTATTCATTTTTTTTTTTTTAATAATGTGTTTTTGTATTTCAGGTATATTTATGGCGGAAAGCTTTCTTTGAAGGAATATGATACCCAGGATATGATTAAAATCTTAATTTCTGCTAGCGAACTTAGTCTCCAAGAACTAGTTACTTGCATTCAATTCTACTTGATTGAAAATAAAACAAATTGGATGGAACAAAATTTTAATTTGGTATATCAAACAAGTTTTGAAAATGATACTTTCTTAGAACTTCAAAAATATTGTAATGATTTGATAACAAAAGAGCCAGATAAGATATTTAATTCTTTAAATTTTTCTTCAATTCCAGAAAAACTTTTAGTTACAATTATTCAAAGTGATAACCTTCAAATGAGAGAAATTCAAATTTGGGAACATGTTCTTAAATGGGTTCTTGCTCAAAATCCTGAAATTCCCTCTGACCTTGCAAATTGTTCTCAAGATGATTTTAATACTTTAAAGAATACTTTACAACGATTTATTCCATTTATCAAATTCTACAATTTAACCTCTAAAGAATTTTTAGACAAAATATTCCCTTATGAAAAAATATTTCCAGAAGATTTTTATAAAGATTTAGTAAGAGCATTTTTGAGTCTTTTAGATCTTAACAGCAAGCCAAGTGATAAATCAGAATATGGTATAACCAAAGAAAGTAAAAAAACTATTGATTCAAAAATAATAAATTATCAACATGCTGAATTAATTTTAAAATGGATCGATAGATTAGGAATCACAGACAAGTTGAGTTCTCCATATGAATTCAAATTATTGTTACGTGCATCTCGTGATGGACATTCACAGGATAAATTTCATCAAATTTGTGATAATAAACCCCGCACAGTAACAATTGTTAAAGTAAAAGACAGTAACGAAATTCTTGGAGGATATAATCCAATTAAATGGAAATCTAGTGGTGATTTTGTAGCTACTAAAGATAGTTTTATATTTTCTTTTGAATGTGATAAAATAGAAAATTATATTTTGAGTCGTGTGATAGATGAAAAGCATGCCATCTACAATAATCGTAGTTACGGTCCATCATTTGGTGCTGATGATCTTGAAATATTGAGCAGTACAGTCAACTCTGGATATAACGAACCCTCCGTTCCAGGAGGTTTAGTTCAGTATATAGTGAATTCGTTATATAATATACCGAACTAGTTTTCTTTATAGGTAATTTAGGCCAAATTTGTAATGCTGGCCAAAATTATAATTTCTTTTAACATAAATTTTCGAAAAAATTACTAGTAATTCTGGCCAGCACTATAAAATTGGCCTGGACTACTATATAGTCACATGACCGTTCGTTATAGAAAGTATAAAGTTATTATATAGCTGATATATAGGGGCTGGTTAAGTTTGGTTCGGATGCGTTATATAGTGTTTTATTATAAAAGTTCGTTATATCCAGTGAAATTATTTATAAAAAATCGGTTCTGGAAATTATGATTCGGTATCAGTATAACGAGGTTTCGGTACAAACAGGTTCGTTATAACCAGAGTCGACTGTATAAAAGTCAATATTAGCCTTGTAAACGCACTATTTGAGCTTAATAAAAGTTGTAGGACAAGCCAAAGTACATATAATATATAAATTACAGACATTTAGATTCATTAATGAAGTGATAAATATCAATAAAAAATTCTGGACAAATTTGCAGCAAATTGTGTTGATTTTACAAAGTCATATTTTCAGAATTTTTCTATAGTATAAGGGATAAAAAAGCAATAATGGCAATAATAGCTATGACTAATTCAACTTTCTGCTGGCTGCTGTGGTAATTTACTACGCAAATCACGTATTTCATTTAATATATCTTGTAAGGTAGCTTCTGAATGCTGTGGTAATTTACTACGCAAATCACGTATTTCTTTTGATATATCTTGTAAGTTAGCTTCATCAACAGGATTATGTTGAATATTGAGTTTGTCTAATAAATTCTTCTTTAATTCTAAAAATTCGTCTATATTCCATTCACTTTCTTTAATCATTTCTTTAATTTTTTGTCGAACTTTATCAGCATCAGCATAATAGTATCTTAAAAATAAATTTGTATAAAAATTTAACAAAAAAAATAATTTTTCATAAAAACATAAAATAATAAAATTTACATACATCACATCAGGAAACCATTTTTGCCAACGCCTTTGATGTGGTAATAGATAAAGTAATTCAATTTCAGCTAGAATCTTTGAAAAAATTGAAAAATTTGAGTAATTTTACAATTATTTAACTAAATACAGTAATAATGATGATATACTGTACCTCTGCTTTCTGTACTAAGTATGAGGTCTTATTATTATCTTTTTCAATTGCATTATTAAGTAATCCAATAAGCAAATTCATAAGATATACAACAATCAATAATGAAAATATAACAATTAGTATTACAAGTGATGGATTGCCTTTATATGTCCAATTTGATAGTGCACTTGAATCTCCTATAATAAAATATTTACTTTGTTAAATTATTAAAATAACTAACAAATACTAGAAAGAATTCCTATTTACCTGTTAAGAATAAATACATTGCAAAAATAGCAGTCCCAAAATCTACAAACATGTTTGTATTTCCGTCGGGTAGTTTAATCATATATTGATTTTGATTAACAGTTCCATTTTCAAATACTTGATAATAGGCAGGTGTTATATTCCAAGGGTTATTGGGATCATCATTATTTTCATTTTTTTCAAAAGAAAAATTAGACTTGGGTGATAACAAAATGTAAAATGTATGTGCAAAACTAATTATGATAATAAATAAAACTACTAAAAAAGAAGCAATTTGTTTCCCAACACTAATCATAATTGCAAAATATATACCAAAAGATTCAAATACTCTAAAAAATAACAAAAACTTTATATCTAAAAATAAGCATGAAAAAGAAATTAAGTGAATATTTCTATTATTTGTTTGAATCCAATAAATAGAAGTACCAATTGGGAGTAAGATTGCAATTATATCTGTAATATTAAATAATAATTAATAATTTTTCCAATAATATGTTAAATAATTAAAATACTTTCATATTACCAAATATATTCCAAAAATTACGGAGCCATCTAATAGGATCATAGATAAACTGACGTATTTCAAAACTCAGATGAATAAATCCGAGCATAATTGAAGCAATTAAAAGTTGGTTTTGAGTATCTTCATCAAGGTACTGTTGAGGAATTGTTGCAGCAGCGGTAAAGCATCCAAGAAAAACGATATATACAATCCAAATTAATGTATAATAGTATTTTCCATAATTGTTCCATTTAAAATCAATTAATGCCTCTCCATCCCATGTCTTATAAATATCTTGATTTATTGTTTCAACAAATGGACTAGGTTGAGACTTAATTAACTCTTTAATCCAATTATATTCTTGTGGATAGTTAATAAATTTAATATATGGACTCATAAACATAATTGTTGGTGTTTTTGTATGATTAAAAATTTCTGAAGAAAATGTGATAAAAAATGTCATTAAAATGTCACTAAAGTTTCAATTATAAAAAATAAATAAAAATATATTACCTTCTTTAACTTTAATGAAAAAATAGTATATGTAAAATATAAGTAAAAGGGGAAAAATTATTAAGATTTTAATAGAAATTAGCATCAAGTACATTATTGTATGTTTATCACCAAATTTACTTATTAATAGGATATATTTACACCACCAAATAGATTTAGTTAAATTAATTATTTGAGGATATTCAGAAGTAGAATAGAGATGTGAATTGTTATTGTTATAGTATTCTATACTGTAAAAAGAAGAATCTGTGATCATCGTTGTTTCTGATGAAAATCTTGAAATATAATCTGGATAACATTTACTCAATAATGGTATGGTTGAAGTAATAATACTTAAAAACATCCTATTATTTTCTAAATCATCTTTGTAATAATTCATACACTTTTTATAGATATCTTCTATCAAATCTAATTTATGTTCTACAATTGCAAACGTTAATAATTCAACTCCATATTTCAAAAGTCTCTCCTTATTATCTATTATATATGAAACCCATCCATCACAGCCTTTTAAACTATCATAATTTGATAAGGGTAAAGTGGGTTTTGAAAATACTTCTTTTAATTGTTTTACAATATCATCTTTGTTGTCAATTTCGAGACTTCCTGAAATGGATATGTTCATAGAATACAAATAGCTTAAAGAAATGGATTGTTTATTTTCATTAAAATTATAAATATAAAGACCTTTTGTTGTTAATACAATAATATCACTGTCATTAAATAACTTATCACTGTCATTAAATAACTTAGTTCCAAGTATATATTGGTCTGCACCAATATTTTCAACTTTTACACAAATTGGAATTGGATCCTTCTTATCCTCCTTAGTATCACGTTTATATGTATCATATTTATCCTTGTTATAAACTCTCAGTTTAATCATTCCGTCACCAAAGATAATTTTCCATACAATTAAATTTTGAGTCAATTCTAGCTCTACATTTTTCTTAATATTTATTTCCTGAAATAATGCATATATAGTATCCATATATAAATTAACGAAATTAATATTTAAGAGATCGTGTGTTTCATACGTTTTCTTGTTGATATTAACATTATTAACATTATTAACATCAATATTAAGGTACCAATTAATAATTGCATGAGAAATTGCTGTTTCATCAGGAATTTCGAATTTTAAATTCATTGTTGCTAAAACTTTCTTATGTTCAATCTTCAAAATATGCCCGCCTTGAATTCCAAATGCATATTTGGTTTTAGTTCGAATTTTATCTAGTAAACTTTCGGTCTGAAATTCTTCTGATAATTGTACTTCCTTGTTTAAAAGGTCTAAACATTCATTCCAATAAAGTTCTTTAATGATACCGTAATTAAATAAAGGAATCAAAAAAGGGATTAAACCACTACGATACATAAAATTACGTAGTTGAATATCTAATGCAAATAAAGGAAATAATAATTAATATGAATAACGGTAGTATTGCATAATATTTATAATTTTTAACTCTAAATACTGTAATTACCATTATTGATATTATCAATATCCAAAGGAGTAAAAGGAATTTCAAATTCAATTGAATAAACAACAAATTTATAATTGATTCTTATACAGATAAGCTTCTCATTACTAGAAATTCTGATTTTCTGTAAAATAAATGATAAACAATAATTAATTATAGAATAGCCTTTTCAAATAGGTTTGAACAGTTAATGTTTTTTTTTTATTACCTTATCGTATGAAGTATATACTATCTTCTCGTTACTTTTAAATATTCTTACAGTTTTTTCTGTAATAAGATTATATTCATATATGGTATTATTTGAAAATAAATAAATATTATATTCTATAATATCAATAATGTTAAAATCTTCTGGTATTTTGTACATTCTATTACAGTTCCATTTGTTATTTTTAATTTGCGTAGAATAAATATAAATCATGTTATCTTTCACTTCATGTGACATAAATTCACCTTCTAAGTTAAAAGTACAATAACAATACTTATAGTTATCGTCACAATCTAATTTAATTTCATGATTATTCTTCATATCGTATATTCCTAATAAAATATAATTAAACCATCATCAGATATATACCAAAATATCAAAATATTCATAAAGGTGATAATTATTATGACTTACCCAAATATTCATCATAGTTGATATGCGCAAATTTCTTATCATCGGAAATAGCTATTTGGGATAAACTTTTATCGGAGACAAACAATTCCGATTTAGGTGGATCCTTATCTTTGATATTCCAAACGACAATTGAATGATCATCTTCGCTATATGTAACAAGGTATTCTTCATTTGGCGATATTTCTATTTTAGTAATAGGTTTACCATTATGTGGACTTTTATTGTCATCACTTTCAATTTTCTTGATACTACTGATATTATTATTGTCAATTTCTATTTTTATCGAATTGCTACTCATTGTTAGAATTTTTTTTTTTAAAAAAAAAGTAGAATACGCAAACTTATTTATAAACAAAGTAGTAGTGTTTTACAAGCAACCCAGGCCGCATTGTGAAAATCTGGCCGGAATAAAAAGAATGCTTAATTTAATACTTTTATGTACAGTATAATAAGCATAATAAAATCACATTATTATCAAATTTCATTGTAAAAAAAATTAAATTTTATTGTAAAAACTTAATCGAGAAATGATCATCGATTTAAAAAGGAACGTAGGCGTGTTGACATAAAGCGTTGGAAAAAAAAAAAAAAAAAAAAAATAATTATCAAACTAAAAATAGTAATATAAAATAATTTTTTTTAAAACAGCTATTGAGGTTTTTTTAACCTTATATGACAAGATTTTATGTAGTGATACTTTATAATAAATGTAAAATGAATTTTTTTAAAGTTATACTCAATATTTGCTTAATAATCCACTAGTTCTATATATCAATAAACCATAATTTTAAAATTAGACACCTTATTAATTTTTTCTTACGTCAAATTTTCACAAATACGAAATGAAAGTATTAAAAAATTTTGAGATAACGTATTCTCGATATTCTTAATTTCATCCAGCCTGCGTTACAGTATGAAATGAATTAAATACTGTTAACTTGCCAAAATTAATAAATATACGAAATATACTCACACAATTATATGAGCCTTTAAAATAGTACTGGTACAAATAAAACCAGTTACCATTAATACGAATTAATAATTAATAAATAAGAATAAATTTCGTCCGGTGTTATTTTGTCTATTCATCCCCTGTATAATTTTTTTATACTTTAACCACACTGCTGATTTATTTATTGCCGTTTTCAAAATGGTTGGAATTGATATTGATCATGTAAGCTGATGACAAAAACACAAAAAATTTCACAAGAAAAAATGTGTAATTTACGCACTATTTTTGTCAGTAAAATATATGGTTTTTGTGATCCTGCGTTACATTACATACATATATTTTTCTCTTTTTAGTGTTTTTTGTCACCATCTTACATGATCGACATAAATATTGTTGACAAACTTTAAATGCTACCGTTTCCTATCACAGCTAATTAGTTAATATATAATATTCGGTGTATAAACCTAAGCCAAATGAATCATATTCGGTTTTATTTTATGCGAGACAAATATTTAAAAATTGAACAGCAAGACTTTGATTACATGACTTATTATAATATACATACAATCAAAAATTGAGAAACTTTTTTTTTTTTTAATTAAAATAGTCGGGTTAATCCCCTTTCATTTCTTTACGCTCATCACAATTTCAAATACTTTGTTAGTTTAATTTTATAAATATAAACCTTTAACAAAGTTAATTACGACTGTGGCTCTTACAACATGAATAACATGAAATATGTATATGCAACACAATTAAAAGACAAACGTTAAATGGAAAAAGGTGCAGGAGATCGCAGCAGGATGATTCGAAGAAAAAAAAAATTAATTTTACGGGCTTCGTTATTAATAAAAAAAAACTTTTTGGAATTTCGTGTTCTTTATTATACAAACTTTTTAATGAACAAAAAAAAAATAGTATGCAGTAACTCTTTTGGCCAAGGAAATTATTTTAAAAACTCGATATATGCATAAAACTGATGAGAACCATGCAAATATAAAAGATAAAAAAAAAACAAAAAAAAAGTTTATTTTGGTTCTTATTTAGTTTTTAAACCTTTATTTAGTTATAGTTTAACTTATTTTTTGGTCAAAATGGTTCAAAAATAATTATTTAAAATTTGAATTAGCTGGAAATTTACGGTCGGAATCTTACGTTCCTTCGGAATTATTTAAATTTCTCCTGTTGAGTGGCGATTCATCCCTTAAAAATTTTTATAGTTAAACCTTCAAAATACCAATTTTTAGCTGTTGAGTAAGTGTTAATTATTAACTTGTATTTCCCCATTATAGACTTTATTTAAAAATAAATAATGAACAACAGAAAACGACATTATTATATTTACTTATATAGTTTCTATAATATTTAATTCTTACTAATCTAATTTAAATTTATGATAATACTGTAGTTACAATTATTACTCTTAACTAATTTAAAGTTTTATGATTTTAAGCTTGTAAATTAAAAAAATTTTTTTTTTCTTTTGCGCAAAGCTTTATCGTCGATGCGTTTTGATCATCATGTGAAATTGAACCAATAATCGTATTTTGACATTGTTATCACTTAAGTGATATAAACGCATCGTGTTGAAGTCAAATTGTTACGATATTAATTTTATTCAGCCTAAATATAATCTGCCTAATGTAGGTCCAAAGAACCCGTTGGCGAAAAAATATCTATGTAAAAAAAAAATTTGATTTTTTGTAGTTTTCCGCATATTCCTTTTTTCCGGTTTTATCCGGATAAATGCCCGGTTAAAATATATCCGGGTTTGACCCGGAATCCAGATACTTAATAAATTTAAAAAATTTTTTTTTAATGCCTTGTGAAATAAAAGCCAAGGAAAATAAGCCGTGTTGAGGTTGTCCCATTCACTGTAAAAAGTAGTCGTGTACAGCTGCCAAAAAATTTATTAAATCTAAACTGATTGTATAATTCAGGTAAAATTCATAATGCAGCCCGAAATCGCTTTATTATATTAAATAAAATACCATAATTTTAATTTACCTATAGACCGACCTTCAAAAAGAATTTTAAATAGATGATTCATTGATTTTATACTTACGGTAATAAAAAATATTAGTTGTTAGCGATGTATTATTAATATTAGTAATAAGGATATTGACCTTTAAAATAAAAACATTAATTTTTGCGAAGTATTTTAAAAAAATTACATATTAATAAACATATTTAATTGTTACTTGATTGTTACGACGTATTATTAAATATTAATAAAAAACATTTAATTTTTAAAGCATTGATTTTGCGATATGTTTTAAAAATTATTACATATTAGCACAGTTAATATAAAGATTAATTATTACGTTTATAAAAAAAATAATAATGTCGAGATAACTGGTTTCGAGATTTTGAATTTTTGGAATTATGATTTGTCAGGATTGTGAGCGTCGGGTTTGTGTTATAATGGATTCTGATCGCTGGGATTTCGTAGTAAATCCCTTTTTAGTGTATGATTGCTGTTTTTTTTTGGTAAACTGAAATACTTTATTATTCATATGATAAAGAACATACAAAGTTTATAAAATAATCAAGAGTTTGGTGAAAGACAAAGTCTAGCGCCCCCCTCATACCAAAACCTTTACCCCCATACGGTGAAGTTGTAGTCCCATTACTGACTCATGGATGAATGATAAAGTACCCCGTACTAATATACAACTCTAACACTATATTACACAAAAAAAAAATTAAATTAATAACTACTTAGATTACAAATTCGGGGAAAAGCAAGATCGCTAAAAAACCCAAGGATATTTGAGATCTATATAGACTATTAACTAATTAAAAGGACAGATTAATCCCCTCCGTACATACCCCATGAACCCAAGGTAAAACCTTCCATCGGCGAAATCTGCGGTCTTTAATTACGCTTCTTGCAAACCAATACCGCTCGCTTTCAACCTTGTTTCCACATCTTCCAATGTACTGTGCGACCACAGATCGGGTCTTCTTTTACACGTGACTTGGTGTGATTGGCCTCCCTAATGTTGATCGGCATATCGGCATATCCGCAAGAATTGAATTTGATTGGTACCCTATGCTTGAAAAGTCTTGCCTAAAACGAATAGGTCACTCTTTTGTACCCCAACTTTATGGAAAGCCGTCCTTGACAAAAGGTTGATATCCAGACATCATGTTGGATAATGTCTAGACATCATGTTTATATATGTAGAATAATGTTTGTATATCATTTAACATGATGCTCAAGCATCAACCGACATGATGTCTTAGATATCATGTTACCAAATATAGTAAATTTTATTTTGTGTAACTCATAAATATACTATATTTGGTAATTTGATCAGCATGATGTCTAGACATCATGTCGTGATGTCGGTTGATGTCTTTCACATCATGTTAAATAATGTACAAACATCATCCTACATATATCAAACATGATGTTTAGACATACCATCATGATGTCTAAATATTATATTTCATGATGTTTGGACATCAACCTTTTGTCAAGGACGGCTTTCCATACACCTTAAGGGGCACGCGCACAAAAAATGACTGCGCCAAACCAAAAACGAAGACGAAAAAAAAACAAAACGAAGGAAAAGAAAAAGGAAAGGGTAAAAAGCACCAAACCAAAACAACCACCAGAAAAAGCTAACCGCCTCCTAACCCTTCCACCAACACACTACTCCAAAGTATACCTTCTTGCTTACGCTCCTCTTCGTCCGCCAGACCTCCCTCCAAAAACCCACGTTGACTCCAAAGCGCTAGCATCCCAACTTCCAAAGGCCAATGTTTCAAAGTAACCCCGTCTCCAGTGCCACTTGGGGACTATTCTAAGTGTTTCCCGTTGCAAAACTACTCAAGACAACAAGATATTGAAAGCTAAAACATTCCGTTATGAAGTTTGAAAAATTTTGACAATTGGTGAACCCTCTACTAAACAGTATTAAGAGTATTTGAACCAGTTTTTCGAAGAAAAGAAGTATATTGTTTTATGAAGTCATGTGAAAAATGGTCATGATGATCAGCAGAAGAGTATACATTTTTATCAAAATTTGTTTGTCGTACAATAAGTGCTCATGATGCATAATACATCTGAAACCTGTACTTGGCATCTGCATTTTGCATAAATAGAGAAAACATTATACACCCTGTCTTTTAGATATAATTACATAGTATAATGGATTATAATAATGATGAAGGTAAAATAGCATAAATATTTAATACAACTTAAGATTCAATTCTAAGCAAATTTGCAATTTAATAAAACTAGTTTCAAGTAGTACTAAGAAATTTAGAGGTAAATATTAATATTCTAAACAAGACGAAATTTTGTTTAATTACTAAATAATATTTACAATATTTGTAAATAATTTGAATGCATTTATAAATCAATAGTTTCTTAATTTCTATTATACTATTCATATATAATTTAACTAATTATTATTCTTGTTTACTTAAAAATATTTTAATAATTAATAATTTAGCTTGTAAGTTGATAGGCTACCTGACAATTTGGACATTTATTGAATTATTTGATGTATTACTTATTTTTTTTTAATTTTTACATAACTAAATAATTCATTTAATGATTAATAAATGCTATAGTTAGTAAGTTATCAGTTTTTTATTTTTAATGTATTTTAAATTTTAATATTCGATAACTAAATTTTTATTTAACATAACATATAATTCAAAATAATTATATTCTTTATTTAAATAATTAGATTGTAAGTGATATATTTAATTTGTACAACCATATTTTTATACATCTAATAATTAATAATTAATAATACCACAGGGCGTAAGTTATATATCATCTATGTTTCTTGTTATTTTATATAATATAAATTAACAAATATTTGGTAATTTATTTTAGATTGTAAGTTACATTTATTTAATCTATTATTGTTTATTTATGATATTTTTATATAGTTTAAACTAACTAAATTTTTATTTAAAAAATTATTAATAATATAGGGGGTAAGTTATTTATTTAATTTCATTATTATATATTTATACAATATTTACATATTAATAACTAAATTCTTTATTTAATAATATAGAGTGTAAGTTATTTATTCAATTTTATTATACAATGTTTACATTTGATTTAATCTAACTAAATTCTTTATTAAAAAATCGACAATTTATTTTATTTAGTTTGTAAGTTATGAATTATTTTTTTAGTTTATCACAATTTTATATGATGATACTTATATATATAATTTAAATTATTTAATGTGAATTATTTTAGTTGGTAAGTTATAGGTTATTTATTCAATTCTATTATTATATATTTATAACATTCAAACTAACTAATTATTTATTTTAAAATTATTTAATAATTTATTTTAGCTTGTACTTTAATTCTAATATGCATATTTTATATAATATTTAAATATAATTTAAACTAAATTCATTATTTAAAAATTAATGATTTATATAGCTCGTAAGTTATAAATTATTTATTTAAATCTATCATTATACATTTATGATTATTATTTATATATAATTTGAACTAAATATTTTGTTTAAACAAACAAATCATTTAATAATATATTATATATAGGGAGTAAGTTATTTAATTCTACGAGTTTTTTATTTATTTATATGATATTTACATATTATTTACTAACTGAATTCTTTATTTAATTAGATCGTAAGTTATCAATTTATTTTATTATTACTTATATAAATTTAATAATACATTAATTATAAACCTACCAATTATTTTTTTAAAAAAATATAGGAAGTAAGTTATTTTTTTAATTCTTTTTTATTATATATAATTTAAACAATAATTAAACTAAATTGTTTAATATTAATAATAATACAGGAAGTAAGTTATTTATTTAATTTCACTATACCAGTATACCTAGTTATATGATATTTATAACGTATATTGAACTAATCAAATTGTTTATTTAAAATTATTTAACAATGTAGTTTGTAAGTTTTTATTTAATTTATTCATATGATATTTGCATATTTTTTTAATGTACACATCTGCTGGACGAGTTGGTAGTTGACATGTATACATATTTACATATATTTTAAACTAAATTTTTCATTTAAAAAAATTATATAGTTCGTAAGTGATTTATTTAATTTGATTATATATTTATGACATATATTTGGACTAATTAAATTCTTTATTTAATTATTTAATAATATAGGAAGTAAGTTATAATTATTATATACCAGATATTATTTATATATAATATAAACTAATCAAATTATTCATCAAATTTTATTTAATATTATAGAGGGTAAGTTGCTTATTTAATTTTATTATTATTATACTTTGGTATAATATTTATGTATAATTTAGCTAAAGTTTTTCATTCAAAAATTTACCTGATAATTTGTTTAAGCTTGTAAGTTATAAATTATTTTTATATTTATTTGTGATACTTATTTGCAATTTAATTGACTGACTTTTTTATTTAAAAAATTATTTGGTAATTTAGTTGGTAACGATAGTACCAAGTCTGCAAAAGGATTATTAAATGATCATAATGATGGCAGTAAGTTGTAAATTATAGATTACTACATATTAACATATAAAACTAAGTTTTATATTTTATTAAATTTCTATTTAAATTTAGGGTAAGTGTTAATAATATTTTTTTTTTTAAAAAAAAACATACAACTTAATTATTTTAATTATAGATGTAGAAATGCAATTATGAATGAATTTATTATTGAAAATAATCTAAAATGGATTCCTTATAATAAATTTAAAAATGTTAAAAATCTTAATAAAGGAGGATTTGGTATTATATACAAAGCTAATTGGTTAAGTGATAATGGAAATAAAGAAGTAATTCTTAAATGTCATAATTATTCGAATGAAAATATAAATGAATATTTAATTGAAGTATGATACATATTATTTATTTTATTTAATTTAAATTGTTTAAATTATAATTTATTTATACTAATATATTTATTTTTATTTTTTACAGTGGAAATATCATTTAAGTTGTTTAGGTTCAAATAATGTTATTAACTTATATGGATTTACAGAAGATCCAAATACTTTGAAATATTTGGCAGTAATGGATTATTCAAACGAAGGTAATTTAAGAGAAAATTTAACAACAATAATCAAAGTTGGTTGGAATCAAAAGTTATATATGTTGTATCAAATAATGTCTGGACTTTGTTTGATACATGAACAAAACCTTATTCATTGTGATTTTCATGATGGTAATATTTTAAATCATAATGAAAGTAAAATTTATATTAGTGATTTAGGATTATGTCAACCTGTAAAATCGTTTGTGGAAAAGTATGATATTTATGGTGTTATACCATTTATGGCTCCTGAAGTTTTAAGAGGCAAACCTTATACTCCAGCTAGTGATATATATAGTTTTTCTATGATTATGTGGGAATTTACATCTGGAATACCACCATTTAATAATAGAGCACATGATATTCAACTTAGTTTAAGTATTTGTAAAGGTGAACGTCCTGAAATTATTGAAAATACTCCACAATGTTATGTAGATTTGATGAAAAAATGTTGGAATGAGGATCCATTAGAGAGGCCATCTTCTAAAGAAGTTTTAGATATTATTGGAAAATGGATTTTCCTTCCTTATGGTAATACAATTAGTGAAGAATTAAAATGCAATGTTATGGAATTTGTAAATGCAACAATTGGACATAACAATCTTGTTACTGAATCACATCCACAAGCATGTTATACAAGTCGCTTACTTGGTTTTACTAGTAAAAAATTGAATGAAATTCTTGAAAGTAAAGATTCACAAACTAGTGTAAAAGCAAATGAAATGCTAGTAAGTGAAGCTGAAGATTTGAATGATTATATAATTAAAGATCTGGGGTCATTAGGTATGTAATTTAGTATATAAAAAAAGTGATTTTGCAAATTATTTATGTGAAATTAATTTTTATTTATTTAATTATTTAAATATTAAAACAGATGAAAATTAGATAATTATTTATTATTTTAAAAAAGATTTATCTTTTTTCTTTATAAGTGATATTTGATATCATGCATTCAACAGAAATTGTTTTTCATTTTATTCTTTTTAAAATTATTTAAACACTAAGGCTAGAGTAGTAAAATATTTTACAAGATTCTTAGTTTGTAATTTAAATAATTCCTTTATTTATACTTTATACAAATATTAAATATATGTATTCTCTTCTTAGAATTATTTAAACACTAGGGCTAGAGTAGTAAATATTTTACAAATTTCTTAGTTTGTAATTTAAATAAATCTGTTTTTTTTACAACTTTTCCAATTAGTATTAAATATAAACTATCAAATAATAATAAAAGTATATAAAACCATTTCCAATGCATAAAATTAAAATTAAATAATGTAAAATTTTATACTCATTTCAATAGCTAATTGTTTTTAATTAACTTTTATTTTTAATATTATTTAAATACTTTGGTATGTACTTGTACATCATAATATTAGTAGGTTTGGTTTATCAAGAAAAATAACTGATATGTCATATAATCTGGCAAATTTTCTTAATGTTATTCCTTTAGTTGGCCAGCTTTAGCAAGCACATATTACATTGCAGAAACCTGTGATTTGTTACTATGCAGTTAAGTGATCGTTATTAAATCACAACGATTTAGAATAAAACATGTGACGATGTGATATCAGACGGTGTTGATGATACGCTTTTTCGAAGTTGTAATACTTTAAAAGAAATATCTTAAATAGGTGATAAATAGGTGGTAAATATTAGCAAAAACTAACTTAAAGAATTAATCCAAGGGATTTTTCAATGTAGAAAATATTATTTGACGACATGATTCAAAATTTTATCGTTATTATTTATTTATTTACTTATCGAAACTAAGTATAAGAGAAATTAAACTATCTACTTTGCTAACAATGCTAATGCTAAATTTACGTACTTCAGTAATAAAAAAAAAATTTTCTAAAAAAAAAATTCCATATCGGGAAAAAGCCTACCGCAGTTCGGTCTAAACTAAACTATTTTTTCTCCCCTTTTACTCGCTATTTCCCTTACTTTATTTCCTTTCCCCTTTCCATCCTTTCTTTTTCGTATTTTATTTAAAAAAAAGCGTTGAAAAACACTCACAAAAAAAAAATCCTTAAAATGTTTGTACGTTTCTATTTTTCCTTTTTAGGTGGCTCCTTCAGTCTTCAGGACGCGATATTTTGTAAGTTTTTAATTTATTTTTCTTTAATATTTTAATGAACAACTACTAACAGTTCATTTTCATTTTTTTTAAGGCGGTTCTTCGGGTCTCTTTGGAAACATGAGATTTCGTTTTTGGCAAGTTTTTCACTATTTTAATTTATTTATCCTAACTAAATATATGTTAACGTAACAAATTTTATCTTTTTTATTTAGGCAAGCCTGAACACTTGGATTTCATATTTTGAATTTTGGTGAACTAGATTTTTTTTCAAATTAATTCTTTAACGAAACATTTTCTCAAATTTCGTTTTCTTATTTTCTGGATGGCCGGAAAGGTTGGATTTCAGCAAATAAAATGAAATTTTTTCAACAAATTTTGCTAACAGTTCTTTTTCCCTTTGACGCGTTGAATTTTGTGAGTGAGTTTCTTGTTCTTTTTATTTACAGCAATGAAATGTTTTACTAACGTTTCGGTTTCCTCTTTTTTTTTTTAGACGGCCGGTCCTTGAGCACGTATTATTTCGGTAAGAGCTTCCAAAAAAAATATTTTTTTAATTTATTTCTTTAGTGAAACATTTTACTAACATTTCAATTTTCTCTTTTTTTTAGACGGTTATGTCCCTGGTCGCGTATTGTCTCGGTAAGGACTTTCGAAAAAAATATTTTTTTTTCTTATTAATTTATTTCTTTAGCTAAATGTTTTACTAATGATTTGTTTTTATTCTTTTTTAGGCGATTCTTTGGACATGCGGCTTAAGGTGTTGTTTTATACTTAATTTGAGTTCTCTAGTCTCTTTTGGATATGGATATATATGCATTTACCATAATTTATATTTTACGATTTTGATACTATTTTTGTACGATCCGGTTAAATCAGGTGTCGATTTCCTTAATATGCATCAACTTTATACATACGATCCACTTAAACTTATTGTAATAGTATAATACTGTATTGTGCTATAAGTTTTACGATAAAATTTTGACTTTGTCACGATATAGTTTCGATTTTAATAGTTTCTGCAAAGTAAATTACCAAATATTACACCCGAAATATTTCAACTAATCTTAATATAATAATTTATAAACTTATATTATTCATAATAATGTATGTTTGTATTTTAGGTATATTTATGGCAGAAAACTTTCTACTATACTTTCTTATGCTTTAAAGGAATATAATACTCAGGATATAATTAAAATCTTAATTTCTGCTAGCGAACTTAGTCTCCAAGAACTAGTTAATTGTATTCATTTGATTGAAAGTAATACAAATTGAATGGAACAAAATTTTAATTTGATATATCAAACAAGTTTTGAGAATGATACTTTCTTAGAACTTCAATTCCAGAAAAACTTTTAGTTACAATTATTCAAAGTGATAACCTTACAATGAGAGAAATTCAAATTTGGGAACAGGTCTTGCTCAAAATCCTGAACTTCCCTCTGACCTTGTAATTTGTTCTCAAGATGATTTTAATAATTTAAAGAATACTACCTTACAACGATTTATTCCATTTATCGAATTCTACAATTTAACCTCTAAAGAATTTTTGTTCCCTTATGAAAAAATATTTCCAGATTTTTATAAAAATTTAGTAACATTTTTGATCCTAACAGCAAGCCAAGTGATAAATCAGAATATGGTATGACCAAATAGGGAAAGTAAAAAAACTATTGATTCAAAAATTATAAATTATCAACATGCTGAATTAATTTTAAAATGGATCGATAGATTAGGAATCACAGACAATTTGAGTTCTCCATATGAATTCAAATTATTATTTCGCGCATCTCGTGATGGACATTTACGGGAAAAATTTCATCAAATTTGTGATAATAAACCCCGCACAGTAACAATTGTTAAAGTAAAAGACAGTAACGATATTCTTGGATCCTTTTGAATGTGATAGAATAGAAAATTATATTTTGAGTCGTGTAATAGATGAAAGATGTGCCATCTACAATAATCGTAGTTACGGTGCGTATAGCAGTTGTTGTAGACGATCTGACGATTCATTAGAGAAATGTCAAAGGAAGGAATAGTTTGGTTATTTATTAGAATTAAAGAGTGAAAGAAGTCAAATAGAAGCGAAAAAGGAAAGAAAAATGATCTAGATGATAAACTATTAAAAAACTACAATTTGGTTGATATAGCATACTCTAGTACAAGCCACCCACGTGAGATGATGTTTATCAACCCCGTTTATGATAACATTTTTCTATTAAAAATAATTTCTTACTAAGAAAAATCATTTTTAGAATTTTTATTCAAAAATTGTGCGCATGTGATTTATTAAAAAATGATTGCAAAAAAAAAAATCTGTAAAAATATTTTATAAAAATTATTAAGAAATTATCTAAAAAAAAACTTTTATTAAAAAAGGTGCTTTAAATCCCTATAAAAATTTTTCAGAAAAATGATCACGTGTCTGAGTTTCTTCGGAATAAAAACGAGAAAAATGATCATTTATCGGAATTTTTTCTTGAATTTTTTTTATAGGGACAAGGACATTTAATCCCTTAAAATTGATTGGTCAGATGATTTATTAAATAAGATTACACAAATTATTTATTAAAAAAATTAATAAATTAAATCAAAAAGGAATGATGTCGAAAAAAAGATTAACCCTTCGATACCAGGACCTTCAATCATATATACAGTATATGATTAGTAACCCAACAACTAATGAATTAATTTGACTATAAATAATGTAGAATAGATCGGACGCAGCCAACCACACGTTACATAATTCAAAATTATATTTATATAAATATTATATAATTTACTTTCAACGATTTTACTATACCACGAAATTATTTGGGATTCCAAAAGATAGAGAAAGACTCAAAGACAATATTATTCTGATATGAACTCACATGATAGAAAATCTTGTCTATTAAATATTAAGAAAACTTAGCAAACAAACAGATAATTTTTAAATTTGTTATTATCTTTACTATATTTAAAAATGATTTATTTTTATATTTTTAGTAGTTTTTTTTTATCTGAATAAATTTTTAAATAATTTTTTATAATAAGACTTTAACTGATTCGCCTAAAATTATTTTTGTGGGTTAAAAAAAATCGGGCATTTTCTTTCATGAAACAGAAACTGTAATCGTATACTACAGAAAAATTTTAGTTCACTTATTATCTTAAAATTTCCTTTTATTTCTTTTCCAATACAATAAATATAATAGAATATAAGTTTCACAAATTGACTGAAACTCGGTCAAGTTAAGAATTTTTAAAGAGTTTATCTTCTAAAATTCTCCTGCACCTTATTGATTATTTAACTAGTTTACTTGATCACGCTATTCACGGACTATCAGATCAAACTACAGATATGTGATAAGTGTCTTAGTATAATAAATTTAGAAATACTAATATTAATCATTTAAATGATATCAAAGTTCTCGAGTGTTGAGACATTGAAAGATTTATCTACATAGTATACCAACAATGTATTTTAAAAATAAATAATAAAAAAGTATCAAGTTCTTATAATAATTTAATGAAATAATAATAAGTTTGACCTGTCATTATCTGATAGATTAATTCATATTTCAAGTTATTATTAATATATATACTAACATACCTAGTCTCACATTAAATGAATAGTTGAAGATAAATTTATCAAAGAACTTGATGGCCTACTTGTAAAAATTGCCTTTGAATGAGATTTCTCTCTAAATTTGGACCAACCTTTTTTATACTTTGAAAGCATCCCAATAATATAAATATAGATTTCATCAATAGTTGGCCTTTCAACATCTTTTCATTAAATTAGCAAAAAATTTTGTAATTTCAGACCGATCTCCATCAATAATTTTATAAATTATTATGTTCGTTAAACCTGTTGTAAGTTCCAATCATCATAACATATCGATATATGTGAGATTTGATACGTATAAGATAGTTCCTGATCTAGGAAGATCAAGTTAGAATTTTTTTCCAAAATTGAGATTTTTATTGCATTATACTTTTTATATGATTAGATTAAAATACAATAACTTACCAAAAAATTCTCTTACCTTGATTTTTCTAGATCAGACCCCTTATATATTTAATTATTAAAAAGTATTGCTTAATAATTAACTTATTAAATAATAATAAATTAATACGTCCTAATAGTATTAATTCTTTCTTTTCCAATTAATCTTAGATTTATTAAGTATTTTATTATTTAACACGTTAAACCAACTAAAGTTATTTTCCGATTTATTACAAATGCTACAATAAAGCCGCAAAAATCGCATCGAAAACTTTTTAAACAGAAAAAAAAAGAAATATTATCTAGTTAGTGACGCTGGTAAAAAAAGAAGTCCTCGTAATACCTTTGCCAACGCATGTTTGTCAAAATAAGCAATATTTTGTCTTTTCCTGATAGCGACCACCGATGGAATTATTCAAGACCGCACGCACGTAAATAGTGTTCGAGTAATTCTATATACAGTATATATATTATATGTTTATATGTTTAATAAAAAAAGAAAATGACAAAATAAAAAATTATTAACAATAAATTGCTATTGATACTACTTTTTCGCCGGTTGCAGCCCAAGTGCTCAACAATAATTTGTGAAAAAAAAATGAGAAAATGAGCTATTGTAAAATATTTGATTTTGTCCATGATCCCTAATCGAAATCACTATAAATAAATTATATTAATATTTAATCGATCCTAGTACTTCCTAGAATCTAGTTATTTGATTAAGCTTTTCTTATATTGTCATTTAAATAATGATTTTTTGTATTCTATAACGGATATTACAAAGATTGTTTCCACCTTTTTCATTCATTTTAAAAATAATCATTATTTTTGTTATAATATATTCAAAAATTGGGTTTTCTTGAACAATTTGTAAAATATAAAATTTTTTTTTGTAATAATTTTTGTTACAGTCTCAAGAATCCTTTCGGAAAAGATTTGCTTACAAATCTGATTAGAAGCGTAGAATTGCAGGATAGATAGTTTTAGGACAAATAGGACGAAAGGAACAGATCTGGGGTAAAATAAAAGCTTTTTCTGAACAATGTCTCAAAAGGTTGTCAATACAATTGCTTCACAATAACAAATTGTTTATACAATGAAATTTTTGAAATTTTGGTATTTTACGAAAAGAAAAAATTAATAATTCCGATTTCTGAGATTTTTTATTTTTAAAGATTTTATAATAAGACGATTCCTATTTGTTATCAATATACAGTATTACTAATAAAATTTTCTAGACGCGTAAATATTTCTTCTTTAATGGCTTTTAATTTACGTGATTTTTAACAAACATGATTTTAGACTATCTCTGATTGCAAAATTTAATAATAATCTACTAGGTATTCATATAAAATTTTATTGAATTTATTTTGATCATAATTTTAAAGAAAATAATTGAAAACAATCGAATAAAACGACGACGAAGTTTTTTCTGTAAATCCTTATTAATTAATTAATTATTCTATTTTATTTTTATTAACTAAATTATATTCATATACGTGATATTCACTAATATTATATATAATTTATGGACGTCCTTAACATACAGTAAGGATATACGATATTAACGTACGAACTGGCCCGAATTTGGGAGTTATGCACTTACACGATAGCGTTAACGTTAATTCCGGCCAGTTCGTACATTAATATCACTGTACATTAAGGAACCCCATAATTTATTAAAATAAAATGCAATTATTCAAGTGTACACACGTTACATGTTGCAGGAAAGGACGTAAATTGGGTTAGTCGTAGGTCACAAAATGAATGATTCCTTTGGCAGATATTATCCGGTATAGAACCAGTCAACGCATTAACAGCCAATCTCCTAGAAAAGATTAAATTGTATATATTTATTTATTATACAATAATAATAATATTATTATTATTAAACAACATACAATCTGTTTAAAATTATATCATCGAAATTTCTCCAGTTACGTATAGTAAATCGGTTAATTGTAATTTGGACAATTCAGCTGGAATTGGACCAGTATTGGACCCGTAAAAGAATGCTTTCTAGATTTATAGTTTTCAAATTTTCACATTGAATTATAGGTGGAGGTATGATATATTAAACTCGTTTGAATTTAAATCTATAAATGCTAAAATTTTCGCATGTTTGTAGTCGAAATTGAGAATTCACCGGACAAAAATGTTGAATGCTACACTAAATGACTCTACTTTTAGGGCGTTAAACTTTTACTTTTTTATTTTTTAATTCGATGGCTTTCATTATTATCACTATCACCTTTCAATGAAAATGCTGATTGTCCATAAATTTGTTCTTCGATATTATCGAAGACTTCTCAATCTTTTTTTTTTTTTTTTTTCAAAGAAAACGGATATTAGCGTAAGATTAAAT